GAGGTCTGAGGGAAAGGACGCAGCCTGCAGAAGTTTGGGAAAGACTAAGGGGGAGAAGCAGCTCACAGAGAAGGGAGAGGAGGGAGTGAAGTGGCAGTGTGGAGGGTCTGAGGGTGCGGGAGGAGCAGCTGGAGGGGCCACCGTGGCGGAGGGAGGAGGCTGGGGACCCACCCCAGGCGAGGGAAAGGAAGGAGCCGGGAGCGCCCCGCCCTGCAGCTGTCTGACTTCCCAGAATCTTCAGCCGCGCAGGAAAGTCCCGGCTCCCACGGTGGCCTCCCTCCTGTGGCAGGAATGGAGGCTCAGAACCAGGACGGCCCCGGCTCCCCCTGCTCTCCGCACCCCAGGACCACGGTCCCTGGAGCTCCGGAGGTCCCTCCGCGCAGGGGCAGCCCCTGGATGAGTCCCAGAAACTTCCCAGAGAAGGCCGGAAGCGCCGCGCAGTCTCGCCGCTTTCCCCACGGCCTCGGCCTCCCATTGCTCAGCGGCTCCGCCTCCCTCCCAGCTGTCCTGCTCCAGCTCCTCCTGGGGGAAGCCGGCCTGGATTTCACCTGCTGGGGTCCCCAGAGGGAGCGGAGCCCAGCCAGAAGGCCAGGGCCTGGAGCAGCTCTCTTGCTCTCTGAGCCTCGATTTCCCCTGCTGGAGAAGGTCTGGCTGACTCAGATCCTGGGCCTTTGGCTTTGCTTCAGCGGCAGGGCTGCCTTCCTGCTGTGTCCTGGTCCCTCCCAGCAGTGACTTACTGCCCTGGAGCCTCAGGTTCCTCACCTGTAAAATGGACCAAGTCAAGAAAACATAATTCTTGCAGGGCATGAGGGAGGCTGAGGCAGGAGGATCGCAAGTTCAAGCCCAGCCTGGGCACCTTAGCAATTTAGCAAGAATCTGTCTCAAAGTAAAAAATAAAAAAAGGCTGGAGGTATAGGTCAGTGTGAAGGCCCTGGCTTCAATCCCCACCATGGGGAGAGGTGCTGTCCTACACGACCTAATGTATAGAAAGCATTCAGTACAATAACGTAGTTATTATTGTTAGAATAACAATATATAATGAAAATGCTGTCACCACCCTTATCAAACAGCCCATGACTGCAGGTTATTGAAGAAGACAGGATCGGATGTGCTGGGCTGAGGGACACGGCAGGCTCACCAAGCTGCTGCACCAGCGGTGTGACCTCCCCTGGCAGGCGGCTTTTCCTTCCTGTGCCTTCTCTAGGGCTTTACTAGTGGAGGATGCACCAGGTCTCGGCCTCACAGGACAGTGGAGCAGATCAAGGGAGCCCGGGGTGTGGCATGAATGAATGAACGGAGGAGCGAAGCCGTTCCTAGGTCCTCGCTGTTTCCCTTATGCCTCTCCACAGCCGGCAGGCCAGGACCCCCCTGTCACTTCTGAACCTGAGATGGGCCAAAACGGGCCCCATTCGCTCCGGGGCAGCTTTCCCTAGGAATGGGCCTATTTCACTCCCTCAGCACCTCCCAGGGAACAGGCCGCTCCGCTTCCCATATTACAGAGGAGGAAGCGGCATGGAGAGAAGTCACCACCCAGGGTCACTTGGGGTCCTGGGAGAACTGTCCTTGTAGGCCAGGTCTCCGTGGCTCCGGCAGGGTGGGCTTAGTGCGGAGGCTACAGGGTCTGCCCTTCCAGTTGCCTTCTAGACTGCCGCTCCCTGGGAAGGCATGGTTTAGATGGGGAAACCAAGGCCTGGAGGGACAGAGTCCTGTGTTCCGGGATCAGTCAGCATAATCCACACTTCCGTCTCTGACGCCTGCTGAGAATGTGGGGTTGGGCGGGTGGAGAGGTCCCCACGACAGCCGGGGAGCCTCGAGTCCTGCTGGGGAGCCCTTCATACAGAAGAAAAGCCAGGTGTGGTGGCGCACGCCTGTAGTCCCAGCACTTGGGAGACTGAGGCAGGAGGATTTCTGGAAGTTCGAGGCCAGCCTGGGTTACATAGTGAGGTCAAGGCCAGCTTGAACCCTGTAGCAAAACCTTGTCTCAAAACAAACAAGGCAATGCCCTCCATAGAAGGGAAGCAGACCCCAGCCCAGAGGGGCGGAAAGTGCCCAGGGCCCTCAGCCTCTGCCTGAGCTCACTGTGGGCTAAGGCTGCTTCCCTGAGCAGGGTCTGCACTTCCTGGTCCCTGGCGGCCCTGGGGCCTTGGCAGCTGTCACGGTCCCTGGCAGCGGAGACAAAGTAGCAGAGACAAAGCAGCACAGCTGGGCTTGGCCAAGACTTCATCTTCCCCTTTCTTCCCCTCGCTGGGTCTGCACACAGGACGAACTGAGTCAGCGGATTTCAACATCCTGGTCCCCACGGTGGGCCTGGGATATGGACAGCAGGGCCCCTCCCCCAACTGCCTAGAGCTGGCGGGTGATAGCAAGATTGGGTCTGGGAAGGGTGCATACAGAAGAACAGAGGGAATCCCAGTGGGGCAATGCTTGACAACTGAGCAGTGGGCTCCTGGGCCTCAGCACCCTCATGCGTAAATGGGGCACCACCTAATTTCTTAGGTTCAGATCCCAGCTCTTCCGCTTATCAGCTGTGTGACCTCAAGCAAGTGACTTGCCCTCTCTGAGCTGCAGTCTCCTCACCTATAGAATGGAAGCAGAAGCAGTACAGGCTTCCTGGTGGCTGTGAGGGCCAGAGTGGGCTAAGCCCTGGGGCCCAGGGCTGGCACAGTGTGAGTTCTCAGTAAACAGGGAGATGGCATTTACAACTGATTGTTGTTATTAACACGGAATGTGGGAGTGGCCACTCAGATCTTTTTTTTTTTTTTTTTGGTACCAGGAATCGAACTCAGGACCTTGCACTTGCCAGGTGGGTGCTGTGCTGCTGAGCTAAATCCCCAGCCCTGGCCACTCAGATCTTCATACAAAACCAAACAAAGCACTTGTGGTCTAGCTGCCAGGCTTCCGGCCTCCCATGGTGACCCCTTCAAGGTTGGCCTCTGAGCCTGGCATGTTGGTGTACACCTGTAATCCCAGCACTCTGGGAGGCTGAGGCAGGAGGATTGCAAGTTTGAACCCAGGCTAGGCAATTTAGCCGACAGCTGTGTCAATGTAAAAAAAAAAAAAAGATGGGCTGGGGCCTTGGCTCAATGCAGAGGCCTTGGGTTCAATCCCCAGTTTTAAAAAAAAAGAAAGAAAGCTCGGCCTCTGCTAACAGCAGGGGATCATGTCCTGTACAGCCTCTGCCATGGCCAGGGTGGGTGGGCTAGGAGGGCCCGGGCATTTCTGCCCACTGTGGGACTCTGATGCGGAAGCTGCCTGTGGTGCCGGCCTTGCTGCCTGCTGCCCGCCAGTCCTGTTCCGGTCTTTAGGGTGCTCTCCTCATCAGTCTTTTCTCCCCTAATGTCTTGTCTTGTTCTATTTTTGTGTTTGAGACAGCGTTTCACTATGTAGTTTAGCTGGCCCTGAACTCATATGTAGCCCAGTCTAGCTTTGAACTTGAAGTGGTCCTCCTGCTTCAGCCTCCCAAGTGCTGGGATTACAGGCGTGTGCCACCATACTGGGCTCTCCTAATGTCATATAAGCATCTGCCTTTTTTTGGAAACAGGTTCTCGCTTTGTAGCCCAGGCTGATCTTGGATTGTGGTGATCCTCCTGCCTCAGCCTACAGAGTGCTGGGATCCCAGGCATGCGCCACCACGCCAGCTGTGCCTGCTTTCTGGAGGACCCAGTGCCATGGGCTGAGAAGTCTCAGCTCTGTCTCTTCCTCATGTGTCTGGGCCTCACTTTCCCCCCTGAGTCATGCATAATGACAGGGAGAGACTGGGTGAGTCAGTGCCTCGGCCCGGGTGTGCAGAGGAGGCCACAGGGCATCACCTGCTCATCATTCCTGAAGAACTGGGCTCGGGGCCGCCCTCTGCCCATTTCTGCACCTCAGGATGGGGCCGGAGGGCACTGGTGAGGTCAGGCATGGAAAGCCCCTGGGCACTGGGATATGGACAGCATATCCCAGTGGCATATCCCATATCCTGGCACGCTCCGCTCAGGACACTCAGTAACCAGGGGATGGCACGGGTGGGGACAGGTGAGCAGGGGCCCGTGGGGTGGGCGTGCGAGGCCGGGAGGCTCAGTCTCAGCTGCGTAGACAGGGAGGGGCAGGTGGGGCCCTGCTCTGGGCCTCAGCAGGAAGGTGGCTGGTTCACCCAGGCCCTGCTCCTGCCGGGAGGGTGGGAGCCTCCCTCATCAGACAGGCGCGCCCAAGGGGAGGAGGAAGGCCTCACACTCGGGAGGCCTGAGGTGGGGACGTGTTCTGCACGGAACAGGGACTTCTGCGGGTCCCGATGGCTTTTCCTCCGCCATCCATCAGCTCTCCAGAGAGGAGTGGAACTTCTCCAAGATCAGGCTGTGTCTGCAAGTGGGGGCTGGCTGGGCGAGGTGACACATGCCTGT